AGGTACAGGCGGCCAATCAAGGGCGTATTAGCTGCCATAGATACCCAGCCCACTCCACTGAGTCCCCTTCAAGACATGGTAAACAGTACACTCGCGCTTATCGAGGCGCAGTACCCCCCCCTGGGAAGCTCAACTGCCATTGCAGCACAAGCCTTTGGAGCGGACCTTGAAGGAACATGGCACATTGCAGCAAAACTAGCCCTATGTCAAAGCAAGACGTCAAATAAGCGCAATCCCCAAAACCAAGAAGTGGCCCGAGGCCCGCCAGTGCAGCGTACTACAGAACTACACAATAGCCCAGCATCGTGGCCGAACGATCTCAGACTTAATCACCAAGCTCAGGAAAGGAGAAAGAAACTTGGCCGAAGAAGAATAATATCCCGGAGGGGAGAAATTGAAAACCATACCTCGTGGCGGAGATCTACAGACGATACATCCACCGCTCAGAAGCTCGCGCAAGGGATGCGAGGAGAAATTGTTGGGAATCCAGGGAAAGGGCAGTCAGAGGAAATCATAAATACCCAAAACAGAAATAGATTAGACAAGGACGAAATTGACACCATTAACTTTTACACTGTGTCCTCTTCCTGTGCTCCAATCACCAAACCCTTCAGCGAGGACACAATGTCTACCGAGAGGCAGAAGGCTCGACAGAGCAATGAGCCGCATCCTGTCGCGATTTCGATCGAACCCTCGACCTATGGTTTGCCGCTGCAAGGAATGACTGCCATCTTAAAGCGCACTGTTTGGAAGGATGTCGACGGCACCTGGGTCCAGCCAGTCCAACAGATGCAGCAATATCAAAACTTGTTACAGGGAACCGGACCCCAATGGGATTCTACCAAACGTCAACTGGGCCCCGAAGAGGTAGAGGCAAATGATGACCTCCTAGACTGTCTTATGCGAGGAAATCCGGACAAGCCCTACTGTCCAACCAAAAGAGTTGAGGGAATCGACTCAGGGAATTACACTACACCATCTACCTCTCATGTCCTCTCAAGCCATGCAATGGTAGCCGTAGACATCGTACCTGTCCCCCGAGTCGACCAGAGCACTACGCAACGCCCGCCTCAAATAAAAGGACCCAAGGCACTACATACTGTAGAGGATGAGGAGGAGGCGTTCGGCACACTGGATGCCCCTTTCCCAGTGGAACGTCATCCTGCAAGTTATAGACGCGGGTTGTCAGACGCAAGTGATGAAACTATTTGCGAATGGATACAGCTCAACGAGTATAATCACATGATTGGCCCTGATGCAAAGACAGATGAGCAGAAGAAACTTGCTGCTCGACTGTATTATACCTTTCCAGAAATTTTCTGTAACTGGGTTCGGGACATGCCTGTCACCGACATCATTGAGCACAGAATACCGACGCGGAGCACAGCAAGACCACGCATGTGTAACCCAGCACTGTATTCAGAGAAAGAATGCGCATATCAAGATAAGTTCTTGCGGGATTTACTTGAAGCAAATGTCATCACTCGCATTACGTCGCCGTGGTCTGCCAAGACCAAGTTTATCCCGAAGAAGGCAACAGGTAATATGACGATGGTCCATTCGTTTGTTCCCATCAATGATGCCACCATTAAAGATGCGTACACTATGAAGCGCATTGAACCAATCCTTCAAACGTTAGGCCAGAAATGGTTAAAGACCTTCTTCCAAGCGGACGGGGCCAATGGATTTTGGGCCATCCCATTACACCATGCCCATATTTATAAGACAGGTTTCTCTACACATTTCGGCCAAATGGCCTACCTCCGGATGGGCCAAGGTTTAACAGGAGCACCATCCACCTACTCTAAAGGAAAAGACATTATTACAGGGCCGATCCCTGAACCGTTCCCAGAACCAGCACTTCACGAGGCCGCCCTAGGCCAGTGTGTCTTCAGTCATTTTGTTGATGATGATATGGGGGGAGGAAGAACGTTTGAAGACCTGTTCCGATTTTTGTGGTGGCACTATTTCCCGCGACTACTATGGGCGAAGTTTACCCTAAATCCGAAAAAGGCAGTCTTTTTCACAAACGAGTTGCACATACTAGGATTCACACAAACAGCTAAAGGGATGAGGCCGTCCATGGATAAACTGGCAGCGTTCCGAGATATAAAAACGCCAACGTGCGAAGAGGAGCTATTACGCATCCTATACACTCTCCCATACTTGAAAACGTTTATCCCGGGGAGAGCCGATCTCACGACTATTATGAAAACAGCCCTAAAGTATGAGATCACCACATTGTCCACTGGCGAGCAGAGGAAAAAGTGCACCTTCGGGTGGGAGCAAAAGCACGAGAAGGCGATGCGTAGCGCTATCGATAGTATCCTAACGGAATGTACCACAGCTGGCGATCAAAACGTTCAGTACCATTTATCAGCAGACGCGTCCAAAACGGGACTCGGAGCTTGCCTTTTCCAAATCCCGAATCACCCGCCTGGCACTAACGCAAAGCAAACCACCCCAGAAGACCGAAAGGTCGTAATGTTCCTCTCTACGCGGCTTACTGGACCACAAAGCCGATGGACAGTTACTGAGAGAGAAGCTTTTGCAGTATTGGCAGCATTAGAGGAAACAGAATGGCTGACCAGGGGGTCATCCTGGCCTATTGTTGTGTATACCGACCACAAGTCCCTTATCCCCATGCTCAAAGGGGAGTCGGTACCAGACAGAATCGCAAGGTGGCAAATGCGCTTTTCACAGTTCTACTGTGACTACGTGCATGTCCCGGGCAAGGAGTTAGTAGTAGCGGACGGACTGTCACGGCTCCCACATGCGCAGGACTATTATAAGAAGACAGACGATGAAGAACTTACAGCCTTTCCTGTCGACATCGACCACGCTCAATCTTACGCTCTTGCGCACGTTGGAAATTGAACAACTTGATAGATGACGACTGGTACACCGAAGTGATTGACGTTTTACGACACCCTGAGAAGTTTGAGAACGGAGATCCCTCCACCCTCGAGCAGGCAAACAACGAGCGTCTGGTGCGAAAAGCACAGAGATTCTGTCTCTTCGAAGACAAGTTAGCATACAAGGAGAGAAATGGCAAGACAAGCCTCTGCGTCCCAAAGAACTCGGTGAAGTGGATATTAAACCACATACACGAACAACACGGCCATTATGCAGCGGATATCTGTCTCCAAAGCGCCTTCGGGCAATTCTTTTGGCCAACCCGACGGCAAGATATAAAGAAACACTGCGCATCGTGCTGGAACTGCCAAGTCCTTACCCCTATGAAGCCCTCTCAGTCAATTCTACCCATATTGACGCATGAACCCTTCGACCTTATAGGGTTTGACTTAATCGGGCCAATCTTTCCACCCTCCGACGATGGCCACCACTTTATCTTGTCAAGGTTGAGTACTTAACAAGGAAAATATGGGCAGACCCGTTAATCGCAGCAACAGCAAAAGCGTGTCAGGAATCGTTGGACAGGGACATCCTTAGCATCTACGGCAATCCTCGAGCAACATACTCAGACAATGGATCGCAGTTTGTGACAGGAAGCCTTGCAGACGACCTGAAACGAAGAGGAGTAAAGAGGATTTATTCGCCTCTATACAGCCCTTCGTCAGTTGGCCTCAATGAGAGAATGGTAAAGATAGTGTCGACCGCTATAAAAGCGTCAGTCCAAAAGAACCCCCATCTCAAAGTAAAATGGAACATCCTGTTACCCTTGGTAGTCCACGCTGCAATTGTCGAACAATGATATCGCTAGGATTCTCCCCAAACGAGTTACTTTTCGGGTTAATCCGAAACAACCGGAGACAACATTGCAGATCGAAGAGGAGCTTGCGTTAAATCGCTAGAGATGAAGATCGACTCTGAGAGGGGAGACGCAGGACTGTACTCGGGAAAAGGTAGCTGCAATGAGGATGGAGTCCCTTGACTACGCCCGAGATCTGGCAACAACTAGGCGATTCGGAAAAATGCTTCAACGTACGGACAACAACGTCCGACTGTGGCCGTCGCCGCAAGTTGGGACCTGGTTCTCCTAAAGCGCATGCAGCAAAACTTGCCAAAACTGGACCCGCGCTGGAAGGGACCGTTCCGAATTAAACACATCTACCAAAACAACCGGTCAGCAATCATTGAAAGTCTGGTCACGCAAGAGGCGATTGGGAAGTATCACCTGAATCACCTGAAACCATTCAAGGCCCGGGACCCCGAGAACGATGTCGACCCTCGAGGATGGGAAGAGTTGGCCAGACTCTCCGAGATAATGGATGAACAAATATCGCAGGAGCAGCAGTTTGAGAATATGAAAGGAGACTTCAGAGGCAACAAAATGGGATAGACAAGACCCAGATGCTGCTTTCTTTAATCAATTGATAAGCTTTCCCTATGATGACGACGCGGGCTTCGAACCTCCTGCTCAACCCGGGAAGGAGTTAAATCTCGATAACGACGTCGAGAGAAAATGATGTGGACAGAAGTGAGAACGGACACATCGTCTGTCCTGAAATCAGCGAATGCAATAAAACGTTATGTGGGTGAAATGAATATTATTACACCACTCCAACACGAAGTTTAACTACCTACTTTTTACTACCAAATATATCCATTGCAACCACCTACCAACTTCCACCTCCACCTCAGAACATACCTCCAGACCACATGTTTGCGGTTGGTATTCATCAGACCCCCCCCGATACAAATCGAGGGAATTGTTGAACTGTCATACAAATCGAGGGAATTGTTGAACTGTCATACAAATCGAGGGAATTGTTGAACTGTCGATAAGAAAGGAAGAAGAAGAAGAACAGAAGAACAACCAATAGTCAAACCTTTTATACCATTCTACCAGAGACCTATCCTTCTTTAACCGCGACCCGAAGCAACCCGATCTGTCGAAAGCTCTGATTTACCTTCACGACGAACATACACCTCAGACCTGGATAACCTCAGCAAAGTCAACTAGTCTACCCTACACAGGACACTCGAGTATACCTGGCCAACCAGAAAGCACACGCTCTTCAAATTCACCATTCACCATGTCGACCAATCCCGGATCCGAAACCTCCATTCTTGACCAATCCCCGAATACAACCCCACTTGTCAACATGTTCGGACAATCAACCCCAAGTACTTCTTCAAGAAAATCCATTCAAACTCGAACCTCACCTGCTTCGAAAGACCTCAGAGTCAAATTCCACCAACATGGACAATGCAGACACCAAAGATACCGCTGCAAATGCGAAGAGGAAGGCGCCTGTTGACGATGTTCACCGTGGGCCGATTGACTTCGAGCACATCACATGGGAAGAGTTGCCGAGCATGATTCAGAAAAGAAGTCAAAAGGCGAAGAACGCAGCGATAAAGAAAGAACGGGATTCCTTGCCTAG